TCTTTAATTAGAAATCCCACGTGGATACTCTGTTGCGTAATGCGCCGAGCGGCTCATGTTAGCAAGAGACCATGTTTTGGAGAGAATTCAATGCCGAGTGTGAAAGATTCCTACCAAGTTGGTACTTGTACAGGCATGGGAAAAAAAGAAATTAAAAGATAAAAACTTTAATTTTATTTTTTAAAAAATTAATTAATTTATTAAAAAAATAAATATGATAAGACAAAATTAATTACATATTCAACGTATAAATAAATAAATTAACTTTATTTATAATTTTCCTTTTTTTTTTCCTTAAATTTCGATCTCATTGAAAGTGGTTTTGTGTTTATGTTAAAGAACAAAAAAAATATATAATATTAATAAAATTATAAAAAAAATTAATATAAATTAATATTCTAAAGAGAAAAAAAAAAGATAATATTAAAAGATAATATAAATTAAAATATTAGAAACTAAACTAAAATAAATTATATTATTTAAGATTAATTATAATTAATCTGAAAAAAATTAATATTTAATAAAATATAGATGAGTCAAATCTATTTTCGACAGAAGAGAATGATATGGACACTACCTTTGACACTTTAAGGGCACCCATGAAAAGCAAATTACAACTGGGGGCTAAAATTGTCTTTTCCCCATGTTTATAATGTGGGGACAAAACTCTTGCCATAGCCACTGCGGGTGCCCATATCAAAATAAATTAATAATAACAATGGTAATAAAATAAATTTAAATTACTTTTGTTACGGTAAGAATTTTAATTAATTCTTCTAAGCTTTGTAAGAAATAGGGACATTTTTGAAATTTTGACAAAAGATGAGGGCATTAAAATGAATACACAAAAATAAGCTTCATTTCTTCTCACTCCTTCTTCTTCTTCTTCTTCTTCTTCAGATTTTAGCTTCTTTGTTTCCCTATTTAACCCTAATGTTTTTCGTCATTTTCCTATTTTAAGTCCTCCGCCATGGCTACATGAACAGCTCAGATTGCAGCAAGGCGTAGTAGTTAGCAGCTTCATCTTCAAGCTCCCATAAACCATCACAAAACGGAGCTGAAAACCCATCTCCATCTCCGTTGAAAACAAACCCTTGTTCGCCAACTACATCAGTACCATCTCTGTTGGGGATTCCAAGCTCGTCATCAGACGCTTCAAGCAAATGCCTTATAACTCTCTCCCTGTCATCTTCCTCGTTGGAGCACGAAGAAGAGGAAGAGGCGGGAGTGGTGGTAGGATTCGCCGAAGGAGGACATGGGAACGTGTGGTCAAAGTCGGATTCTGAAGAGAGTTCTTGTTGAAGAGTAGTGATGAGAGAAGACAAGTCCTGGTTAGGCTCATCCTCTTCTGCATCAAGCAAGGAGAGGATATGGGTGTAGGACTTATGTCTTTTATTCTCTTCAACAACTTCATCTTCAACATGGGTCTGATCAGTTTCTTCTCTCTGGCGCTTCAAGGGTACTGCATCCGCCATTGTTGACAACTCGTGGGAGAGAAAAGAGAAAGTGGGTAGGGCTTTTTTGGCTGTGGGTTGAGGTATTGTACGCAGAGAGAGGGAGAGAGAGAGAGAGTGGATGATGAGAGAGATGAAGGGAAATGGAGGGTTATATAGAGATGAAAGGAAACTGGAGTTTCCGGTCAAAATCGAGTGGAGAAATGAAAAAGCAAAAGAATATTTAATGTGAAATATAAGTAAATCGTACGACGAGACTTTTATTAAAAAAACTAAAAGTTTTTTTTTTTTTTTTTTAAATTTAAAGCTTATAATAACTATTAAAAAATTAAAAATATTATAGTACGTATGTTGAGTTGGTGTTCCTTGAACGACCACCGTTGGTTTTACTCTGGGAGACGAATGCGGCCGTGGAGGATAATCAACGGTCGAGATTGAGAGTAGAAGATTGACTGAGAAGGAGGATATCAAATCTCATAAGATAAGGACAAATTTGGGGGGGAGGAGGGGGTGGGCGCAGATGTTTAAGAAAAAGTAAAATTGTTTACTTTACTGGGCCACAGTTTAATTTTTTAATTTTTTTTGAGGAAATACTGGTTCAGGCTTTGAGATAACATAAACGGCAAAAAAATAATTAATATATATATATATATGTATGTATGTATAAAAAAAGTGGTCTCCTATTGGGTAATGGGTACTGTAGACGGCGACCGGGATTAATATTATATTTATATTATATAATCAATAATTAAACAACTTCTTTATGGCAGATGCACGTATAGAGTTTCTTGGGAAATGAAATTAGTTAATATTTTATGAAAATAATGGGATTACGAGTTATTAAACAATATTCTATATTGTTAAATAATAAGAATTTGTAAATTATATGCCTAATGAAATTATTATTACAAAATTTAAATCATATAATATTATTATGTATAATTTTTATTATTTACTATTTATTATATATTTTATATTAATAATATTTTTTACAATAAATTTTGTCGAACACTGTTTTTTTATCTTAAAATTAAACTTAGTAAGTCGAATCACGATCTAATTAACTTTATGTATTTAATCAAAGACCTTTTTTGTAACACCCCGTTTTTTTTTTCTTAACTGTGTACAATAAAGCACTCATACAACACAATACCGAAATCCATATTATTCCAACCATGCACAAGAGAAACTTGTCCACCTTCCTTGTTCCAAATCAATTGTACATACATCTCCACCTCTACAACACATAGTAATACAATATCAACATTCCTAGATATTCAATATCCAGACTAAACCATCCTTTCAAACTACTTTAAATCACAAACAAAACTTGTGCCCTATGGCACTACCGAC